TTTGTTTTGTGTGAGCACATGGCTTTTGTCTTTGTTTCCTGTATGCCATGTGCTCTCATGTCAATTGTCTTGACCCCTCCCATCTTGTTATCTGATTATTGGTTAATTTGCCCCAGATGTGTTCCCTTGTTACCCTCCTCATTTGCTCTCCATTTATTCTCCCTGTGTTTGCAGTCCTAGGTCAGTTCGTCACCATATCTCCCTGGATGTGTCCTGTCCTGTCGTGTCGTGTCCAGATCCTGCCTTGCCTAGCCTTGCCAGCCTGTTTTTCCCCCACGCGGTAGTTTTTGTTGTTTATTTTGTTTTATTTTTAATAAAAAGCCCTTATCTCCTGCACCATTGAGTCCTCTCCTCATCCCTTCATCCCCAACCCTGACAGACTCATGTAAAAAAAATAGCAAATAAATTAAAAACAGAGCACATTTCATTTATCTATTATAACATTTATCTAGCTTTGTTCGCTTGGCTGTGTCCTTATAAAGTTCCAGAAACTTGTCAGCTTTTTCATCAGGTGTCTTCTTTTAATTATATGATGTCATTACGTTGCTGTCTTGCCGCCAGCCAATCGCTGCATTGCTGATCGTGGTTTCGAGTAGCACCTCGGTCTCGTAGACGGAGGGGTAGGAGGAAGAATGGGTCCGCCTCACTACCCCTAGAGGTGGCTGAAGAGGCTGTAGCGCCCCTAGAGGCGGCCGACGAGGCTGCAGCACCCACAGCGGTGCCTGATGAGGTTGCAGTGCCCGCAGTGGTGGCGGAATAGGCTGCTGCGCCCCCAGAGGTGGCCGACGGAATTGCAGTGCTCCGCTCTCGGAGACGGAGGAGGAAAAGGGCTTCCTCCATCCCACATGGCCTGGAGGCCGTTCCAGACCCTCCCAAGCTCCTGGCCCTGCCGGCGATTCATGGTTTTGTGACAGAGCCCTGACACTCCCATCATGTCTTTGTTTTCATGTGAGCGTGTGGCTTCGAGAGTGCTCGAGCCGTGCACTCTCGTCTGCGTGTACTGTTTCATGTTGGAGCGTGGTGTTCGGATCCCGGCACTCAGGTCTTGAGTTTCGGTTTCGTTTCGGGGTCCGGACACTCGCGCTCCATGTTCTGTCTGTTGTGGGAGCGTGCGGTCTCGAGTTCGCTCGGCCGTGCGCTCTTCTGTCCGCGTGTGTTGTTGTGTTCTTGTTTTCTGTGTTTCTCATTGTCTCGTGTTGTTGCATGCAGCTCGTGTTTATATCAACTGTGTGCTTTCTTGTTATGTTTTGTCCTGTGCTTGGGTTTTTCACTGGCTGTGTGCTTTCATGTTGTCTTGTTTCCTCCCATCTTGTTACCTGATTATTGGTTAATTTGCCCCACATGTGTTCCCTCGTTACCCTCCTCATTTGCTCTCCATTTATTCTCCGTGTTTGCAGTCCTAGGTCAGTTCGTCACCATATCTTCCTGGATGTGTCCTGTCCTGTCCTGTCGTGTCGTGTCCAGATCCTGCCTTGCCTAGCCTTGCCAGCCTGTTTTTCCCCCATGGGGTAGTTTTTGTTGTCTGTTTTGTTTTATTTTATTAATAAAGCCCTTATCTTCCCGCACTATTGAGTCCTCGCTCCATCCTTCATCCCCAACCCTGACACTAATATCCCATAATCCTCATTTAACTGATTTTTTCAAGTTAACTCATTCAGCTAAGTGCTACTGCAGAAAATGCAGTACCACACAAATATAAAGAACACTGAACCTGAAGGCTCAACTGAAGTGAATTTAAAGTACTGTGTACTAACATCTAAATGAATCATTTGATACAATGGAATTATTTTGTGCATACATCTTTTTAGACTGTACTAATATATATATATTTTTTTATTATTTATTTTATTTTTTTGTAACTTAATTTTTGTAATTACATCTATAATTACACTGTTGACTGTCCCTAAACCTGTCCCTAAACTTAACTGTATCATACCTCAAAAGTAGAACAAGCAGATAATAAATTAGTCAAGAAAACCAAAGAATTTCAAACAGTAGCACAACAAATTGAAAGATCATTTTAATAGGCATATATATTACTATAG